GGCCGCGAGGGAGCGCTGTTGTCCCGCCGTTGTGCCGCCGCCGCGGGAACTTCGCCTTGTCCTGCCCGGGGCGGGGGGAACGGACGGACGGACGGACGGACCCCGGCCCCTTTGGGGGGACAGCGGACCCTTTGGGGGGCACCGGACCCTTTGGGAGTACCAGCCCGGACCTGTCGGGAGAGAAGCTGCCGCCCACCCTCCCCCGGGACGGTCTCCGGTCGACGGACAACAGCCCACCCCATCGCCTCCCGTCTGTACCGCGGCCCGACGGGGCCGACCCCCCCACACACACTCCCGGGGATGGGGACCTGGCGCTGCCCGAGGCTTTGGGAAGGGGGTTGCTGTGGGGACAAGTGTCAGCGACAAAACTGGGTTGGCTGCAGCCATGTCCCTGGGGAAAGGAGTGCGGTGTGGATTCTCCGGTGTCTAATATGGGGTGAGTCCTTTCGTCAGCAGGGCACTGACTCCTCCCTCATTGTCCCCCCCGCGGACACCGACTTGCACAAAACCAGTAGGAACAAAACCTGCTTGAAATCACTCAAAAGGATCAGAAGGTAGCAGCGAGAGGGACAACACTGCATAGGCACAGAGGGGGTGGGCCTGTTCCCACTCAGCCAGCACCCACCTACACCCCACAATGTCCTAATGGCTTCAGCAAGGACTTGTTGGCCCCAAAACAGCTGCTTCCCCCACAGCCATCCCAAAATCCATGGCCCAGTCAGGATGTGGCCTCGGTGCCAGAGCCCCTTGCCATCCTTCCACAGTGCCTCTGCGGAGGCCCCATCTCTGGGCAAGCAGCTGTCGCCCCCCGACAGCTTTTGGGTGTCCAGGTCCCCCAAGTCCCTGTGAAAGGACCTGAGTGTGCAGGGGGGTGGCAGCAACCCGCAGTGGGAGCTGGTGGCAGGGGCCAGCAGCGCGTGTTTAGTTGGCTGCTGAGTTGGGGATGCACCGGGAGCATCTCTCGGCACAGAAAGTGCTGCCTTTGCCCCATTTTGCCTTCCAGATTTTAAGGAAATGAGGTTATCTCTCACTGGGGAGGGGACACTGAGCACCAGGCCGCAGCACCCAGCTGCTCCCAGGATGGGGTAGTGTCTGGGGAGGTGCTCGGCGGTGAGCCAGCACGGAACATCCCCCATGCACAGGCACCTCAGTGACCAAACCCCATCAGTTTTCCCCTCACTGAAGCCACCAGCAGCTACTTCACGGCTCTGGTCATTTTCAAGCAGGCCATGGGGCAGCCACATCCCATCCATGCCACCTATTTCCCACAGGAGCCTGCAGTATTTGCTCCCCCAGCTTCCCCCCAAACGACATTTTTCTCCTTTTTTTTTTACTGTGCTGCACTGGGGCTCCTGAAGACCAATTCCATTAAGCCCCAGGCACCCTCCTCCATCCTTGCCCACCACGAAAGCCCTTTGTGGTGGCAGGGAGGGGACAGTCTCCTGTCCCCACCCAGGGGCTGGGGCTCCACATCAGCCCTTCAGGTTTCAGTGAACCCAGAATTTCAATGGAACCGGGGTCCAATCTCACTTGCAAATGTTCCCTTTGATTTTATATTATTGTTATTACTAAGGCAATAGAGCATGGCTGAAAATTAAGAGAGGAAAAATAAATCAGTTGAGCGTCCCTCAGCTCACCACACTCCTGAGCCCGGCAAAGGGCCGGGGCCGAGGGTCCCGCCATCGAGGACACCCTTTCGAATCCCACTCTCCACTGGAGACGGATCCAACCTTGGGGCCAGTTTGTGCAAATCCAGGTCTGCAAAAACGTGGCAGCAGCAACGGCTCCAGCCACGCTGCAGAGCTGCCCGCGCCTCTCCTCAGCTCAGCTGCCTCCCTGTGGTCGCTGCTGCCGGGAAATGCTTTTCCTGTGACCAGTTTCAATCTTGTCACTCAGTAATTCCTTGTGCAACGAGACAGAAAACACCCCCCAGACCCCCTTCTCCAGCCCATTTGTTTCCCTGCGCACTCTCCTCCTGCTCCCTTTCACTTGCTGCCTTTCAAGGTAATCACCGGCGCTGCAATCGCTCTTCAGGAATATTTTTTTTTCTTTTCCCCAGGTGCTTAATCACCCTTATTACCCTTTTCTGATTAATTAATTCTAATTAATTTTGCACTATCATTTTTGAGAAGAGGTGACCAGGACGGCACATGTTGTTGCAGGTGATTTGTAAGGCAGGTCCTGCAGCGTCGGCACAGCCCTTCCCTCGGCGGCATTTAACCCAGGTCCGGGCAGGTGCCTGCTGCCCCGTTTGCTGCCATTAATGGCAATTAATAGAGCAAGAAGCCCTCCGAGGCCCTGGGAGGAACCCCGAGGTACTTTGCTGGGATCCACACAAGGTGCTTCCCCCTCCTTTGCTCTGCCGAGGCAGCGGGGTTTGACCCCGACCAAACCTGCCCCTGTGTCCATCTCTGCCCAGGTCCATCAGCCGCCTCTGCCACGCCGTGGCCAAGGCTTGGGAAGTCAGAATAAATTAGGTCAGGGTTCTCCCTGCTCTGCTGAGAGCTTCCAAGGGACTCAGAGGGGTGGCAGAGACATGGGTCCCTTTGCACCAGCCATCCTCCATCACCTCTCATCCTGCCACAGCAGTGCCAGCCCTTCACCATGAGGCCTTCGGAGCTGAAATATGATGTGGTTGGGTTATCCTGCCCTTAAAATAAATGCAGATGTCCTGGGGACAGAGGTCCCTTTGCTCTTTGTTCCAGAAGCAACCCCTGGTCCTTACCTCATCCCCAGCACCCAGCAAGGGGAGGGGATGTGGGCTGGGAGGCTACAGCTGCACTCGTACCCCGGAGGCTTCTCAGGGCTTCCCGTGTCCCTGTCACTGGCCACTGGCTTCTGTCCCCAAATGGAGCCTGTTGGGCACTTCTACAAGCCGGGTGGCCACCCAGCATGGCTCGGGGCTGGGACCATCCACCCCACCTCGCTCCCTCAGCTGCCGGCTCTCACCAGGAGGCTGAAACATCACCACTGACACTGCTGAAACGCCCCAGCAGCCTGAAACAGATAAAATGTATTTATTACATATAGTGTAATATAGGTGATATACTATAAAGTGTATGCTATATACTAGAGAGCCGCTAGTAGATAATAGATAGTGTGAGTATATATATATATATATATATATATATATATATAAAGTCTATGCACTGTCTGTATAATATTGAGTATAAGTGTGTATATGTGTGTTTATATTATACACATAAACATAGTGTAAATGGACCTTTTAAGCCTATACATACACACATGCAGCATACACACCATATATATACATTTACATAGCAGATAGTTAGATACAGGTATATGCATATAGATATATGCACATGTATATATGCATATATATATGCACACAAATATATAAAAAATTATAAAATGTATGTATGTTATATATATTTTAAAATGTATTTTTGCATATATATGCATGATGGGGGAGAAAAGAGAGTACGGACGTGTGTGTGTGTGTGTGTGTGTGTGTGTGTGTGTGTGGCAGCAGGGAGGAAGAGGAGGAAGAAGAGGGAGACACAGAGGAAAGCGCACAGCAGGGAGAAAGAGGGAGAATACAAACTGCTCCAAGTTACAAAAGCTCCCCTCTTTGATTAATTGTACTTTCTGTTTGATAAATGTTACTCATGAGTATAAAATATGCAAAGCACTTAGCAAGTTCACACTGTTTAAAGAACTCAACTAACTAAATTAAAATTCGATGATACGAACGGAGCGGCTGAAGAGCAGCGTGGCAGTGTGCTGGTCGGGGAGGCAGCCCGAGCAGGGACCCCGCGCCCCAGCCACGCATCCCGCCCGTGCATCCCTTCCCGGTGAACCAAACCACGCTGGCCCCAGCGCCGTGGCACCCAGCCCACGGGAAACTGCCTTGGGTCCGGCTGCAGCGGGTGGTTTTCGGCGAGGCTGTGCGTAAGGATTTCGCGTGTGGCCCCCCCCCGAGTGGTGGTGAGGGGCTGTGAGGAGCCAGCTCGGAGCATCCTCATCCTGCGACTCTGCTCTGTGGTGCTGCCGGGCCAGGACTGTGCTGTGCAGGTGGGGGTGGCCCTGGCTCAGGGTGGAGGGCTGGTTTGGATGGGGGGTGCTGAACAATTTGCTCTAACCCCCAAGCTCCCACCACTGTGGGTAGCAACAGCCAAGCACCCAGCTCCAGTGACCAGGGTGGCTCCAGTGGGTCACCCAAACCCCCAGACTGGGCGTTTTCTGGCACTGCTGAGCCCCGATGCAGCACCCCAACATCCCACCCTGTGAGCCCCCAGCCTGAACCACGTGTCCTACATCACACCCTGGCAAGAGCGACATCTCCCTGCACACTCGCAGCGCTCTATCCCTTCAGACCTTTGAAGAAAAGCAAGTCAGCCCTTTCCAGCTTTCCTGAAATGGCAGCTGAGCACCCTCAGGTGAAGGGGAGCCCTCCTGGCATGGGAAGGCTGGGGAACCTGGTCCCCCCATGGGGTGCCTGCAGTCCTGCCAGCTCCCACCTCTGCCCCCTGCATGGGCTGGGAGATGCTGCAAGCACGCTGGGAAGGATGTAGGGTGCATTGGGAGGATGCAGGGTGCATTGGGAGGATGCAGGGTGCACTGGGAGTACCACACTGAGGAGTTTCCCTGGCTCCCAGTGCATGGCATGTGCCTGGCTTGCACTGGCCACACTCCTCAGCTTCCCTCAGCCACCGTCCCAGGTGAGCCGGGCTTGCTGGAGGCAGCTTTGAGCAGCAGCAGCATGTCAGGCAGGTAGCAGCTCCCTCCTGCTCGCCTGAGAAAGGAGACAGAAGGAGGAAAACCTGGCCTGGATCTGGCCTGACTGAGCGCTTGCCTCTCTGGAAAGACTTAAGAGCTCCACTCAAGAGGTTTAAGCGTGGCCCCAGCACTGTTCCCTAAGCCCCTGGGTCACAACCCCAAGCCGCCCTCGCCCTGGCTCACCGCACAGG